TGTATGTTTCTAAATATAAACTTAATCTAAACCACGTTCATATTAAAATAAATATATAATAACAAATTCGTTACACTGCACAAGTTAAATTTTATTAGTATAAGATCGTATAGTATAAAAAGATATTCAGTATGAGTAAAATAACCACCCCTGCTTGTGTAAACTGGAGAAATTGAAATTACATTTATTAAAACGCTTTTAGTTAAAGTACAAAGAATTGACAACATTCTTCATAGAATACCTCCACGTGAATTGATTGTATTTTAATAAACAACTGTAATAACTTTAAAATTAGAAACAGGGGTAACACAATATAAAATAGTTTATATCTGTATTCTGTTAACCCGACTTCTGTATCCTACTTTCCGTAGATAGGTTTTACTTTCATTTAAAGAGGTTGATGTTGTTAATAAGTGTAAACTTTTATGTGTAACGTTGATTTATTATTCTAATTTTATCAGATGATCCCTATTACTGCGGATTACGAGCTCGTGTTCCCAATTTTGCCAAACGCGGTAAGAACGAAGTCAAGAAAACCCATAGTTCTGGGTATCTGAATCTTCTAAGATCCCAAGAACGATCATCGCATGCGTCAATTCTTGGTAAGGGAAACTATCATTTGAATACTTAGGATAGATAAGTTAATATTTTGTAATGAAGTGTTAAAACATTTGTATACACAATGAATGTGATGCCTCATCCGGAAAAGGTGAAACGCGGATTTTTTTTTTTTTAATGTGTGAAGCTAAATGAAACTGAATTATCTCAATCTAAAGAATATCTCTCATAGATGTTTATAGTAACAACATATGTCAGTAAAAATGTCAGGAATAACTTGTTGCTCGTTTTCAAGGACTTTGTGTTCACTTTGTACTGGATAACACATAAGTATTGAATATTTTTTCATTGAATGTCTGGATTCTTAGAACTCGCAAAATCACAATGATTTAAACATATTATAGTTATAGTTTTTCAATTGTTATAAACCTGAGTTCTGTTAATAATTGTTACTACTGAAGTTAAAGATATTCCAGTGTCTCTTCATGTCTAATTTGTAAGTGATTTGAATTTAAATGTTAACTACGAATGGTATAGAACTCCATCACATATTATATCTTTTCTCAACTTTAGGTTCTGAGGGACTAATTTCTAAGGAGGAGCAATACAAACGTATTTACAGCAGACTTCGACCGCAACCTCATCACCATTATCCTCCGCGTGAACTTTACGTTGGAGAGTGGGAATAATAGTTTTGAAGTTGACGAAAAAAAAAATGAAAATAAGAAAGCTTTGTACATCCACTAATACTATTAATATTTAACCAGAAACCAGTTTTTTAGGGACTTTGTCATTATCTTCTGATTACTGGTTTTCCATCGTCGTCTAATGGCCGAATATTTCCTGATTCTTGAATAATGAACCTCTTGCAAGTACTTTATAGAATATGTGAAAAACTAGAATAAACAACCTTACATAAGCTTGTGAATTATTATTATTATTATTATTTGATATGTGTGTATGTATGTATGTATGTATGTGTGTGATAATTCTGGATATTGCCTAAATACTGGTTAATCACCCTTTACGTAATATCCAAAATGTTGCATACATACTTTCTAGTGTAGGATTAGGAATATTTATTTCATAATAAAGTGGTATTCAAATACTTTGATTGCTAACTTACAATGTCAGATATGCTAAGAGTTAACCTTTTATCAAAGTTGGTAGAGCATTCACGGTTAATTAGTATCTATTAACAACATTAACTAAGTTGAGGTGTTTTTATTTAGCTTTGAAAAAATATTTTTCTACTATGAATTAAAAAACAGACAAACAACTTTAATACCTGAATTGCTCTCTGTGCGATTTAATGAAGTTTATATTTCTTTTACGCACGATAACCTTACAAACCTTGACCTTTAAATTTTTGCTAAGTTAGTATCGACTGAAAGTCCTTTATGGTGGACAAATGTACTGGTTATTATTGCTACACATTGTGTTGTAACCCTGTTAATTGTATATATCTTTCTTAAGTTGGTCTTGCTCTAGGCTTACTATGAAATATTCATAGGAAATAAAATTATTAGTTATATCTTGATTTCTTTCCAATTGTGCATTTTCATTATTTCTGTATTTACGTATATTTATATAACTTATATTAATTTAGAATCGAAAAGTAAAAAAAAAAAAAAAGTTAGATTAACTGAAATATTCCTTGTTTTTTTTTTAGAATTTACTTAGTTATACATCTGTAGTGTATTTTTCAAAATTCAGCAGTTATAGAAATTGCTTTCCTTTTTCGATTATTACTAGCATCATATTATTCTAGACGTGTCAGTAGCGATTAATGTAACGTAAACATTATTAACTTGTGGTAACAACGAACATTTTAGACCACACTTCACCTTCAACTGATGCATATTTGAAATATCAGAACTGGATATTTTGCAAGGGAAGCTTCGTATATTTATGTAATGTGTGATTCTGTGTTAATAGTAAACGTGGTAATAAGTTATATGAAACTTTTGTAGAAAACTTAAATGATGCAGGTTATACGTAACGGAATTTTATGCATTTGTCACTTGAAGGATTATCTTTAACTAATTTTTTATTATTAATATAATTCACTCTATTTTGATAATTTCCAAATAGAGATTAGCTTGATCTAATGTTCCAAGGTTTATTTAACAACGAAATTTATTTGCGAATCTTCCCCTCTAGCTATTTATGATGTGACTAGTGGCGTCATCTAGAGACTACTTGGTTAATCAGTATAAATGTCTGTTCTTTATTTCTATTTCCATTATAAACTATTTCTGTTTCTCGCAGTTAGCTGTTGAACATTCCGTATTGGACCCATACTGAACATAATAGCTGGCAGTCGACACATTATTTCAATCCCAAAAAATAATGATCTAAATTTCAAGTTTCAGTTAGTCATGAAATGTGAACGATATGTGGTAAATATTACACAGAGGAACCTTGGTTGAGCAGCTTACAACAGAATATTTTATGCGGAATTAACCAAGCTATTGACGATAGCTACTTGAAATGATCCAGTTCAAGACAAGATTAATTTTACAAGGTCTACTAGAATGACTTTGTTTATCAATCTGCTGAAGAGATGTTTATGTGAAAAATGTCTAAATGATAGTGATCAGATTACGAAAGCGATTATGAATATGTGTGTGTGTGTATATATATATATATATATATATATATATATATATATGTGTGTGTGTATGTATTATTGTTTGGACTCCTAATAAGTAGGTGTTTAGTACTAAATAAATACATATTGTAAGTAATACTATT